AAATCGTTTAACATGTCGATTCCGCCCACCAATCAAACGAGACGTACGAGATTACGCAATCTCAATCATGCATTTCCTTGGCTTGTTAAACCTCAATGACCCTAGACTGAAAGGTTAAGACAGGTGGTTTCGTGACCTGACTTACACGCTTACAGGATTACAGTTCACTATCACAACTATAGTTGCCTACAGAAGTTTTGGTGGAGGCTTTTTTTTGGGTCATTAAGCATTGATAACCACTAGCCTTTTTTGATCACTTTGATTTAGGACCGGTATTGTGTATGGACTCTAACAATAACACACACACACACACGCACACACACACATATATATAGTTGGGCCACGAGTGACTCTAAGGCACTCAACTCAACGCACAACTCAGATAGATGAAATATAGTCTGTAATCTTTTTCTTATATGGCTAAATATGGTAACTCTTTTTCAGACATTTAAAATCCGATATCCATGTGAAACTTCGCTTGGTTTTTAAGAAGACTTATTTTTCAATTTAATCCTGATTGTCTGCCGCGATTCCCAGAAAAATGTTAACTATTCTGCAATATGGCCAGCATGAGGGTTAGGATTGCCCAAATAAAGAGCCCGTTGGGGGTCTCCATGCCGCATTTCTGCTCTCTACCCGCAAATCACTGAGCCGTTTCAAGGCATAGCCACAAACGGAAATGCAAACTCGGTGTCGTCGTATCGTATGAGTGTAGGCAGGAGAACTTGGGTGATTATGGCCTAGTGATTCAGTAAGGGACAGAGGCCGACGTCCACCAACCAGTCTTTCGAGGAGTTCGTGCTCTCGATGTGGTCTTCGAGGCGTGTGCTGCGGGCTGCCTTAAGGCTTTCCGGCATTTCGTCCGGAATAATATGGACAGCAGCTGAAAGGAAAAGCACTAGACACTTGTCGAAAAGTTTCCGGCAAATGTTGTCCGCGAAGAAGTGACTCTTTTACGTGTCAATGCGAAGCTGTACTTGGAAATAATCGCAGGAGAAAAAGTCTTTTTGCCTCGATCTACCACCTTAACTCATCCATTATCGTCCTCTTCAGCTCACTCTGTCCCCGACTTTGCAACTCTGCCGTGAGCGTTGAAAGTGCCTCCATGACATGGGCTTTTCTGACTAGCATGGAGATGGCCGGATCCGGTTTCGTGTAATTCTTAGGCTGTGGGGCTTTGTAATCATACCGCAATCAGTCGACCGCCAGAAGAGAAGGGAGTGCAGCTGAAAATGGGAAAAAAATGTGGGCATTCTACGAACTTGGAGCTGTCTGTCCCTCTCGCGTTTCATGTCCCCACCGGCTTTACTTCCACAACCAAGCTCAAGCTTGATATTGAAGTTGGCAGACTGGACGCAGACTCGTGTCCAACCACAATCGCACATGCCTACAACGTGGATACGTACTTTACACTTCAGTATCCGGGCTAAAGGATGCTCAGAAAACAAACAAATTTGGTCATGATGCCTCTTACGGTTGCCCAGCCCCTAGACAGACGGACATCAACTTTGCTTTGTATGCCATCAGGTTGCTACCATACCGCTGATCTCCGCCAGTTCTTATGTTTGTGTGTCTTACTGACAGCGTCATTATTCATTCATAAACAGGAATCCAGCACTCTAACGAAAGCGCTTATTTCTGAGTTAAGATCTGAGATGAGGAGAAGACATTCAAATTGACAGTTCAGTTTTACTGAGGCGATCGTAACCTGAAAGCATGCAGTTCCATAAAGAGGTGAAACGACCGTGAGGTATGAAATATTTATGAGTCTTTTCAGGCTAGTAAAGATACAAAAACATAGTAACCCACGCGTTGGAAGGACGCCAGCACCGTCGCAGGTCATTTTGGTAATCAAAGGTCAAAAGATGAAAGAGTAGCGGGAGAAGAGTACTTGACATCGCATAAATAATCATTTGAGTCCACTATGAAAGAAAAGACTTTAAATTCAGTATCTGATGCATCTATGACCGACTTTGGTCTCTTAAGTTAATCAAGCAGTGTTCAGGACGTCAAGTGAAAATTATTTGCAAGTGAATTTGCAAGGATAAGGTACAAAATCTATTAGTCTTGACACATAAACATGCTCCCAAAATGTGTTATTTGTAAAACAGACACCATGTTTCGAAACTATTAGTTCATGACTCTAACAATCAGGCAATGTAAAAGAGTGATACTGACATAACATTCAACCCTCTCGAGAACTAAGCAGAAATGGCTTTGCAACATTTTCACTTGGCCAGTTGTCGATTGGCTTTACTGGAAGATTCATGATGATAGTCAATTCTCTGTACTTTTAGCTCACTTTTTCTCTCTCTCATTGAGACCAAAAACAAAAAAATAGGCTCATCAACAAAACCAGACGAGGGTCCGACCTTGCGCAATCGGAGTAATGGTTATAACTTACATGTAGAAAACGGGAGATGGGGTTTATCAAACCTTGACGGCCAAAAAGAGACGTTCATTTTTGCTGTCCTAATTACTTTGAGCCATCACTGCCGGTTTCGTGCGTAAGCGAACACAAACATGCACATACAAATACAGAGACAGACACACTCACATGCATCGAA